TTGTTTGTTTGTGTTTGTTTGTTTGTTTGTGTGTTTGTTTGTTTGTTTGTTTGTGTGTTTGTGTGTTTGTGTGTTTGTGTGTTTGTGTTTGTGTTTGTGTTTGTGTTTGTTTGTGTTTGTGTTTGTGTTTGTGTTTGTTTGTTTGTTTGTTTGTTTGTTTGTGTTTGTTTGTTTGTTTGTGTTTGTTTGTTTGTTTGTTTGTTTGTTTGTGTTTGTTTGTGTTTGTTTGTTTGTTTGTTTGTGTTTGTTTGTTTGTTTGTTTGTTTGTTTGTGTTTGTTTGTTTGTTTGTTTGTTTGTTTGTTTGTTTGTTTGTTTGTTTGTTTGTTTGTTTGTTTGTTTGTTTGTTTGTTTGTTTGTTTGTTTGTTTGTTTGTTTGTTTGTTTGTTTGTTTGTTTGTTTGTTTGTTTGTTTGTTTGTTTGTTTGTTTGTTTGTTTCTAAATTGTCTGTTAGCTGCAGGATAACTAAAAAAAGTAATGGCCCGGTCAAAGACAAAATGACAAATGGGTGTAGATAAATTCAAATTAACGTTAAATTTAGTCATTTGGATGAGAAATAAATTGCTTCAATATGCTTCAACGCGGTGTGCAAAAGACAGGTGTATAATAAATATGCATGAATACTTTTCTTTCAATTCGCTGGGGTTGTACATGTGGCGCCCTTGATATTTTTTTTATTTGATAAATTTTCCCTTTTTTACCATGTCTCTCGTGAAAATGGAAGAAAGTGTTTTTAAAAATATTGTTCCATAAAATGTTATGATCAATCACAAAATTGACAATTAGTTGGTTGGGTTTTCCCAAAAAGGTCCTGGGATCGAGGTTGGGGTTTTCCCTGATTTTCTAATCTATAAATAGTACACATTGTCACACATTGCATCAGTTCAACAGTATACGTCATATTTCAGCGGGAAGTATAGGCTGAGTCACGTTTTAGACTTTGCATTTTAATATAAAAGCAATTTCATATTCTTGACTGTATTAATATTTGTAAACACAAGAAGAAAGAATTATAAACTGAGACAATGCTGTGGAGTCTTTTCTGAGTCTTATATACGGGATTAGATTGAATACAATATGTTGAACAGTATTTTTACGATGAATTTCGAAGCCATGTGTTTGAATCGGACTATCGATGGCTGTGATGAAATTATGAAACAACTAAAGCCACACGAAGAAAGGTGGAAACAAGCTATTCACAAGTGCTACATAGCTACAAAGGTCGTCTACTTTTGAAACTGTTCTGGGATTTAAAAGCTTGATATTATTCCACTTCAATTTAATCTACTGATATTTTGTTTATAAGTTTATAACTGAAGGCGTGGTTTAATAAATACTCTAAATAGCTACGAAAACTTTATATATTAAAAGGTTAGTACAATCATTTTTACTTTATTTTTTATGTTTGAGGCTTTAGTTAGATTCAAGATTGTTTGTTACGCCTTTCAAATTTATATTTACTGTAGTGTCCTATACTTTTACAGCAAGAATTAATATTTTATATTCAACTTTCAATTTGGTGACCTTGACATGCCTCGACTTACTCATTAGTATGCCTATTTGGCACAAGTTCAAAGAAAATGTTCCCTTTTACCAAGAACATAATAACATAATTACTTGGCGGTTTTGGTATTTATTTCCTGTTCCTCTTATTAATGGGGTTTTTATTTGATTGGTTGCTCTTAACAACCATACAGTATATATATTTCAATTGAGTTTATTTGATCAAATGTCCCAGCTGAATAAAGTACCCAAAAATTGTGCTTTGCTCTTTGCACTACTAGGCCCTTAACATGAAATCAGGCCAGAGTGGGGGGCCACGTCCTCATTGAAGTTGCCATGCAAAATTTCTATCTAAACCCACCCACCCAGCCTTGAAAACATCAAATGCGGCATACGTTATGGCAAGATTTTTTTTAAAATATTTATTTTGCCGCAATGAAATTTATGAATATATCAAAAATAATAGTTTTGACCCACTCACCACCTTTTACCGGTCTGAGGAATTTTTCAATCAGCCTTAAGTACAGTATAGTTGTGATATAATTTTTAACCAAAAATTTGTTATTAGTGGTAGTTGAGTCTTCGACATTTTGATGACTCTGGTACAAAAGATGATGTAACTTGAGTCAGCAATTCAAAATAACTCTACTCAGCAGTTCCAAATAACTTGACTTGGATGTGATTTATGTCGATCATATGACTATGGGTCAGAGAAAAGGATATAAGTCATATAATCTGTGCCAGACGGTGCCAGTGTAGGTAGTACGTGCCAATAATAAGAAAGCTTTGGATTGATAGGGATGCAACTAGAGTACCTGAAAAATTCAAGGAGAAATTTATTAAACTTCCCGATGAAGGGCCTTCACTCAAAACGACGAAGTTCTCCTTGTATTTTTGAGGTAATTGTATCCCTATCAATCAGAATTAGCTTTCTTATCGGGAAAAAAATGACTTGGAGCAAGTCCAATGCTGACCATTCTTATTTTTTGGCTGACAAGTATCAACAAAAACAATGGTCCGATATGGTTAGCAAAAAATTGATGCCATAGGGTTAATGATTTTATCAATTTAGTCTTGCTGACTTGCTCAGAAGGAGTGATTAAGACATTACATCACAGTTAGTAGCAAAACATGATCTCTGAGCTGACGGTGCAAAGTGGCATTCCAAGCATTAGCCCAAGGTGAGGGTACTAATTCCACTTGGCTATACATGTATTTACAGGGGTTTCAGAATAAGCCGGAGTTCCGCTGGCTACTTGAACTTTTACTGCCGGCAACTTTTCATCTGGTCACAGGAAAAATTTTATGTACAAAGGTACAAGCGAACCAACATGATGTTATGTTCCAATTGGAATTCAAGCAAAACATCACTTATTTTGGAAGATCAATAAGATCAATAATACATACCTGTAGTACCAAACATAGGTTGCTTTCTTAAGTTGCTGTCGAAAAAGCGATAATATAAACATTCTTTGTTTTCTCGTTGCTATCTTGAATTTCGTAGTTAATCGTATAGAGGGCAATATTACTCAAATATGATTGGCTAATGAGGAGGGCATTTTTTCTTAATTCAGGGCAAAATTACTTGTACCCGATTGGCTGAGATGCAAGCACGGGAAGTTCCTTGTAATCTTGTTTTGAATAGCAATAAAAACAATTGCTTCTCGCTTTGTCGTCCCATCCGCGACACATATACGAGGTAACTAACGAATAAATATTGCCCTCTTGTGTTTTCAAAGTTTCACAAATTGCTCTTGTCTCTTCGCAACTCGGGCAATTTGTGAAACTTTGAAAACACGCGTGAAATTAAACCTTAATTTTACTCGGCCCCATGCGATTACACTGCAAAAAACGCCTGGCCTGTAACAATGTTGTTGAACACAGGCCTGAACAATATCTTGCTGCCCATATTGTTCCTGGTTGTTAACAATATTGTTCAACATTGTTCAGGCTGAACAATGCTGAACAATATTGTTAACAACCAGGAACGATATGGGCAGCAAAATATTGCTCAGGCCTGTTTTCAACAACATTGTTACACTAGGCTAGGCCGCTTTTTATTGTGCCTATGCAAATGGTCAGCGGCTCTGAATCTTCCTGAACGGGAAGATGACTCTGATTGACTCTGGCAGTGACTTAAGCATTAGGGAATCCGAATATGACAGTGAGCCAGAGAACGAGTCAGATTCAGAGCTACTTTGGTAAATGTTTTTCAAGTGACTAATTCTTTGACAGTGAATTAATTATGATAAAGTGATGAAGTAAAGTTCATTACGTACATAAGTATAACTTCATTTGACTTAATGATTTAGGACTCATAAATTAATACTAATAGTGTACATTGTCTACCAGTAGCACATTAAAGTACATTGTCACTTACAAGTATAAAATAATGCAAATGACATCTAAATCTAACATGTTAACAGTTGTACTTTGCCTTTTTACTTTTTCTATATTATTTGATTGTTAATTTGCAACGAAAATATTTAAATTTCCAGGCTATGGCACGCCCCCCTCCCCGCGCGATTTTTTAACTATCAGTCACAGCCGGCTACTTTCTTGGTACAGTCTCCTACTTCAAATCATTCTGAAACCCCTGATTTTATAGACCCAGGAAAAGGAAAGCATTAGCAAAGTCTAAAGCTCATCAATAATTATGGGTCATGGATGGACCTCCTGACTAATCTAAAAAATATGGCAAATTTCACTGAAACGAGTATGACTTGTGGGGAAAAAAGGGGAAAAACTATTATTGTGAAACCCGAAAAATTCAATGTATTGTTAATGAGATGAGCAGCCAAACAGTTTATGTGTTATTGCTTCATAACAAAAGATCAGGGACAGTAGATTGCAGAAAATTATAAAACCTAACTATTAGGCAAGTTTGTTTTAAATTTTGATGTATTATATACACGTTTGCTTTAAAAATGTGTATAATGGTGGTAAAAGACAGCGTATTCAGTGTATAAAATACACTGAATACTATACGAAAATACACTATTTTGTATATAAACTGAGAAACAGGGACAAATAAATATGTCGTTTTGTATATAACATACTTGACATAATATTTTTTTAGAGTTTTTTAAATTTTAAAAGTATAAAGAATAAAATATTGTGTAACCAAGACAACCACTTCAATTACTTCAGTCTTCATGTTTGAAAAAAATGGCAAATCGATGGCGTGTTTGAAAAAATATAGCAAAGTCAGGGGTTGCTGCATGTATTTCTAGTCGGACAATGACTTGACTTCACTTGTGTCTCAAAATCACCCGAGTTACTTCTAATTTGACCTTGACATGTCATGATCCAGATTGTCATGTGAAAACTTATCAGAAATCAAAGCTGATTTAAATATTCCCACAAAGTTGCCAGCACTCTCCATAAAACAGCCAAACAGTGTATTTTGACGGCAACGATAAGTAATTTAAATTAAGGGCTATAGAAAGGTTGTATTAGTCCCAGGCCAAGGTCATGAAAAAAATTTTTTATAGTAAAATTAATTCCCATATAGGGATATTTATATGGCCGGTCAAAATATAAGAGGAATACTTTAATTTAGACGTATTTCTGTAGAAATTGTGTAGGCAAATTTCTATTCCTAGAAGTTTGAAGAATTTGGGCCAAAATCTACAGTAAATGAAATTCCTATAGGATGTTTTTGCATGGGTCAGAAAATAAGTGTGCTGTAAGTGTGTTGATTATATGCAGAAACACTGCCTGCAATTTTTAGACTTGTACAGTATATACCACAATGCATCGGCTACAGGTATTAATCTTACAATGAAAAATAAACTGTGATTATTGTAAATCACTTCTGTACTTTCAATGTAATTACTCAAT